GAAGCCCCATTTCAAATTTCCTGCATTCAGAGTTAAAGTAAGAAGGGCATTTTGGTCTTCACAATTACTTTTTTTTATTCATTTAAAAAACACTTAATAGGATTTAAACCATGACCACTTTAAAGAAAAGCAAAGACCAATAACCAATCACACTAAATACATTTGTTGTATATTTTTAAATTAAAAACATATAATCGCTGAGAGGAAAAAACCCTTCCTCCATTTCAAATTCCCTGCTCCATGAGCGTTTGTAGGAAGGGTAGAATAGGGAGTGTAAATTTTTTTATTTTTCCTCTGTGGAACGGGCCAACTTACCGTACAAATGCGGATTTAAACGGGTCTAGGAGTGTCAATTTTTTTCTTTAAGTCCTTTTATTTCTCCGTGGTGGTAAAATATATATGAAAAGGCAAAAGCAATACTCCTTTTTATTGCTAAAAAGAAAAAAAATTTAACAATAAACTAATGCATGGATTTTAATGGGCTAACCACTAATCAATAAAATAAAAGAGTTGAATGGGTCTGACCTACACGGGATTTGCCCATCAAGTAAAACAAACGAATATCATGGGTTTGCCATTCTAAAACAAGCTATTTTCTCTAGCATAATATATAGTATGCTATTATTTTATATCTTAGTGGCTAAAATATAATGTATTTTAAAGTTATTCAATGGTTCAACCTCGACCAACCCAATTAGTCCAATTTTTATCATTTCAAATATATATTATGTAATTATTTGATATCATAATGATTAAATTATAGTGTATATTATAGGGAATCGTTTGGTATTTGTGAGTAAAAAAACTAAACAGAAAGATCTATTTGGTTATTTTTAACATTAAAACGATCCTAAACATTTTCAGTTTCTTTTCGAAATTCTATAGTTTTATTCCCGAATTAATGATGTGCAAATGGCGAATTGCAGTCATCTCTTTTCTTTCATTATTTTTTATTTTCAAATAGAAAGTTTAAAGTAAAGAATAATTAGAGTTTGGCATAGGTCGATCAAACATGCTGAATTTCAAGTTTTGGCCCGTTTTGATCAAGTCTAATTTATAATCACATGGTTTCCTGATACCCGATAAAAATCTCAATCCAAACCAGTTTGGCAGGTGAGTCTGTATTGACCACCATTTTCTAGGGATATAGGAACGGTGGTTCCTATCCCAAATGGTGTTGTTCATTCTTGATTTCTTTAGATTCTATCATGGTTTGGCAAAAAACCAGATAGCACAATGATAACAAGATGAAAGTTTTATAAAGCAAATTAATCGGCCAACGGGCCGAGTAAAAGCTAGCAACGATTGTGAGATGCTCATTTCCCGAAAACCGACGAGATAGGCGATTTTTTATTCGATTTTCTGGAACACAAGGTAATAGGTACCTGATTTTGGTTCATAAGGATGATTTTTGATTCGTTGCATCATTCATGTCTCTTTCCTAGTAAAATTCACTATTTTTATTACATGTTTTCCTAAAAAAACTATACAACAATAAGCTATACACCCCATTACATTATCAAATTTTATACCTCACCTTCCTCCTCCGGACAAATGGCCGGCCACGCTAGTTAATAATTATTATTAGAATAATTATTAGTTAGAATAATTAAGCCACAAGTTCCCAAGAATTACCCAAAATTGCGTTCACTGTTCCTTACGAACAAATCGCGTGCTACTGTTCACGGAGAAGTTTTTTTTATTGCATGCGGACGGTTTTAGATAAACTTGCATTCACCATATTGGGCTGGACAAGCTGTAGCGATTGATGGTCTTTTATTTTCGTCAAATGCATGGGCCCACGTGTAAATGACCACATCTGACCAGTACCCCTCTCTTTTCCGTACGTCTCCACAATCCCTTTTTCCCATTCATTATCTTTCCCTATTCTGAACAAAAGATCTCTTTCCGGCCTTTTTTATTTTCTCGTCCAATCTCAACCGGAGAACCAAAGAGTACAAATCATTCGATCCATTTCTCTACCAATAGCAATTGTGTGTTTCCTATTATGACAAAAAAAAGATCTCTTTCCTAACTAAGTCTTCCGTCCAACCTCAAATGGAGAATCTAAAGTCAAGCCGATGGTGATAGAAGAAGATCAACAAGAAGAAATTGAACGTGCGGTTGCCGGAGCTAGGGGCAGACTGAAAAGATCGTTTGAAGGCTTCCCCAAATATAAATTTCTTATTTAATTTTTTATTTATTGGATGAGGGGTGATGTAAGAAACATTCCTTCTTTCTTAACTTTTCAATCATCTCTAAATCACGAATTCATGGTTTGGTTTGTGGAATAATATATAGTCTATTCATTGTTATTTTTTAGATGATAAATTAAAACACATATATACACTATAAAATATATGTTTCTTTGGTTTGATTTTGGCAATTCATACATACACTATAAATTACAATTTTTAAGAGTGTTAACAACATTGTATGTTTGAAGAAATTGTTTACTTCATGATTATAAAATTTTGATTTTCGAATTACCAGATCAAGCTACAATAACCAATTTTAGATAAATTCAAAATTAACGAACCACAATCTATTTTGATGTTCTTCGTTTTGACAAAAATAAAATACTAATGGTTTCTTGCAATAAATTGGGAGCCTAAATTTTATTATTTGAGTTTCATCCTAATTTATGTAATTAAAAAAAATTGTATATAAAAATATCGATGGCAAGTACAAGTATGTAACACTTCAGGTACAAGTATATGGTACTCATAAGGAACAATTCAATTTTTACTGAAAAAATGTGTCTCAATGATTAAATGAATGATTTCTTATACAAACTCTAAATTTACATATATCATGGTGGAGCACTTAGAACTTACAAGTACAATACAAAAATACAAATATTGAAACAAAACAAAGCAAACATCCACAACATGGAATGCCGGGTAAATAACTGTATAGATATATAACCACAAGTTAAAAATAATTGTTCATTACTAAAAATAGAGCATACTATTAAAAACTTCTTTTCCTGTGTACTATTCACTTATTTTGTTATCCCTTATATCCAACTTTACCATAAATCATTTTCCCTTATACAAATTGTATAAAAATATATTTATTTCTCAACCATTACAATCAATTTCACTATAAATTATATTTCCTTAATTGTCTGTCTAGATACTTTGTTTTCTTTCCTAAGAATTCCTTTCACGTTATGAAAGATATAAATATTACAAATACATTATGTACAACTTATGAAAGGATAATCATTTTATATGAATCAAACATTAGGTAAATTACAAATACATTCCGTAGGATTTATAGAGAAATATTCATTTCTTATGTATAAATTAAGCTAAATGTATCATGTAAGTTTTTGGCAATGTTCAAGACACTAATTATAGTGAGTGATAGTTATTTATCATGTATCAGTTAAACATATTACGTATTTTTTTTAGTAATATAAGTTTGACCTTGAATTTATTTATTAATAATTAAACTGTTGACGATGTCATCAACTTGCATTACAAAAAGGTTCTGTAAAATTAATTATTTTGCACACAACAGTTTAATCAAATTTGATATATTTCATAACTTGATTTATATTATATCACACATCACAAGGGATTTACATAACATCATTCTCTTACAATTACCTGAAAACAGTGGATTACGTAAAATTAATGAAGTGATAGTTATTCTTATGTATAATTTTTTATGGAGGCAATGTAAACCTTATGGAGGTATCTTACACAATCTATTTTATAAATTGTTTGATTTTCATTAAATTTTCATTTGAGTGAATGCATTTTTAGAGATAATTAATTTTCTACCGCAGCGAAGCGCGGGCAAAAAACTAGTAACAAAGTAAACTTCAAACTAAAACACTATTCATTACGACAAAATAGCTACAACCCACTTTTACCAGGAAAAAAAGCCAACCTTGTGCGAGAGATCAATTAATTGCAACCCCACTTTTATCGGACAAGTGAGCAACTATGTAGAGCTTGTGCGAGAAAATGACTAATTGTTTTATGAGAATTTTTTGGGGTTTGGTACGGTTGATTAGAGAGCTATACCATGTGGGTGGGTTTACCCAATTGACTCTATTGATGAGCTGGCCGAGGGATTCATTAATCTTCTATTTTATGAAAATTATTAATCCTTTTAGGAGATTTATATATTACAAATACATTACATAAATTATATATATTACATAAAAATTATACATTTTATATATATTTAAGTCTTTACCAACATTCTCACCATTTTAACTAATTTGTTAATGATCTCATCATTTTGCATTTCACAAAGGTTCTGCAATGTTAGTTATTTTTTATATAACCATTTGATCAAATGTGATTTTTTTTTTCATATCTTTATTCCTTTATTACAATATTCATCATCTCATTGATTTGCATTACGCAAAAATTCCGAAAGTGAACTTTTACATAATAGTTTAATAAATGTGATACGTTCCATAACCTGATTCTATTATTATTATTCATGCAACACCGTTCTTTTAAAAAAAGATCTATGATAGTTCCATAACCTGATTTTATTTCATATGAAGGGATATGTTATAAAATATCATTAGACCACTCATTATTATAATATTTATGTAACAACGTTCTATTTTTTTTATCTCCTACATCCAATTTTACCATAAACTCTGGATTAGTTAAGTTTGACATAATAGTTTAATCATATGTTACTTTCTAAAATTTTATTTTATTAGTAGACCACGCATTATAAAATATTTATGTAACAACATTCCATAATAGCTATATATATTAAAATTTAATCAATGTTGCTTACTATAACTTAATTTTATTATTAGATCACACATTATGAAAGATTTATGTAATAACATTATACAAACTGTTACATGAGTTTTCCTTAATAATTAATACACTATGTAAATTTTATAGACAAATAATCATTTTATATGTACCAATTAAAAATAATAATATGTAAGCATTCCATAATGATTAAACACCTCGTAAACCTTATATAGAAATAGTTATTTACTATGTATTACTTCACAAACGGATGACGCATGTTATTCGTAATGATTAAGGAATTACAGGAAACATACATACGTATCTTATCTGAATAATTTTATGAATAATTTGATTTAAATCATTAATATTTTACCACGACGGAGCATTTAAATGTTTACTATATTAATGTTTAAATGTTAACAAGACTTGTTATATGATGATTGGTTATATGACAACTGATTAGCATTTAGCTTAAACGGATAGCGATCTAGAGTACTTCGTTTCCAAGACTTATACTGCTTGCCTTTTCTCTTCACATTGTTGATGGCGGAGAAGGTAAGAGTTTCTTGTCACTTCAGCAACAAACGAAAAAGCTGACTTAGAAATCAAGGATATGGATTACCTGCTTTAATCGTTTGTTTCATTCTTTCTTTCCCGATATTTCCAAGTCAGCAAAGTTTGAAAAGCCATTCCATCATTTTCCCCTCTCACGCATTGGAAATTGCTACAAAACTATCATGTTGGAATGTTGGTAGAAGAACCATAGTCCAATTCACAAGCTGCAGAGAAAGATGATGATGTCCACACCCTCAGCAGAGCAGCAGCAGCGGCCGGAGAAGCCACACGCAGTGCTGCTGCCATGTCCGGCACAAGGCCATATCAACCCATTTATGCAGCTAGCCAAGCTCTTACACCTCCAAGGTTTCCACATAACATTCGTCAACACCGAGCATAACCACAGGCGCCTGGTCCGGACCGGAGGGCCCGAAGCTGTGAAGGATCTCCCTGATTTCCAGTTTCAGGCTATTCCTGATGGCTTGCCGCCGTCGGACAACGATGCAACTCAAGACCCTGCTGCACTTTGTTACGCGACGCAGAATTACTGCCTGGAACCCTTTCTGGAACTAATTGACAAACTAAACTCATCTTCTGATGACATCCCACCTGTTTCTTGCATAGTATCAGATGGAGTGATGACTTTTGGGATTAGAGCTGCTGAATTGTTGGGGGTCCAGCATGCTACATTCTGGACTGCTTCAGCCTGTGGCTTCCTGGGATATTTGCAATTTGATGAACTCATTAGAAGAGGCATATCTCCTCTCAAAGGTCTCTCTTCTTCCCATTTCCTCTTATATATACTCAATGGAACAATTAAAGACCCTGTCATCTTGTTAATCACAAACTACTAAGACAAATTAATCCTGTAACAAATAGAATTCGATGAGTTTTAACAACAACAAAAAAATCATTTCTTGTTGTTCGCAGATGCCAACTTAGTGGATGGAACCCTTGAAAGTCCTCTAGGCTGGATTCTTGGAATGAGAAACATCCGACTGAGGGATCTGCCAAGCTTTGCAACGACGATGGATGTCGATGATGTAGCTTTCCATTTCGTCAGAACGGAAACCAGGAACTGCTTGAAATCATCCGGTGCAATCATCTTCAACACCTTTGATGCATTTGAAGAGCCCGTGCTAGAAGCAATCAGAACAAACTTTGCTGGCCAGCAGGTGTATACAATTGGTCCACTCCACTTGCTTGGGAAGGAAATGTATGAACCCGAAACCGAATCCACGTCGATTAGTCTGAATCTATGGAAAGAAGACCTGAAATGTATGGAATGGCTCGACGAAAAAGAGCCTCAATCAGTTGTGTATGTCAACTATGGGAGCATGGCGGTTATGTCTGATGATCATTTGAAGGAAATTGCGTGGGGGCTTGCAGAAAGCAAACGTCCATTTCTCTGGATCATACGATCAGACATCGCAATGGGGAGTTCAGCTATCTTGCCGATAGAGTTTCTGGATGAAATCAAAGGACGTGGGTGTCTCGCCGGTTGGTGCCCACAGCAGGAAGTGCTTTCACATCCAGCTGTGGGCGTTTTTCTGACCCATTGTGGTTGGAACTCTACGATGGAGAGCGTCTCTGCTGGCGTTCCCATGATCTGCTGGCCATTTTACGCGGAACAACAGACTAACTGTAGATATGCTTGCACTGAATGGGGGATTGGCGTCGAGCTCAGTAAGGATGTGAAGAGGAATGAGGTTGTGGATGCCGTTGAAGAGATGATGAATGGAGAGGAAGGGAAGGCGATGAAGCATAAGGCTTTGGAGTGGCAAAAGAAAGCGAGGGAAGCCGTTGGTGTGCAAGGATCGTCGCTCGATAATTTTATGCAATTTCTTCTCGATTATGATCACAAGAATAAACACAGGCACGCGGGAAGTATTTAGTCAATGACATGTTTAAGAGCATACGATATTTAGCATATTTTAGTAGTGTGGAGAGAGAAAAGAAATAGTTAGAAATCGTAAACAAAAACAAGTATCATATATTTTTTCTCAATAACTTAGAAATTCCAGTTAAGATAGACAATTTATATTTTGAAAGCGCAGAGCTATCTTAAAACTCATATAGCTATGCATTATATTTCTAAGTTTAGTCTACATTTTTGCTTCTCTTGTACATTACTTTGCAGTTTCCTTTTTACTGAATCATTCGACATTATCTGACAAAAAATTGGAGAAAACCTCTATAAAAGAGAAGGAAAAAAAAAAAAAAAGTAGCTCAAACTCCTCGAAGCATCAAACACATGGACTCATTTAGATAACTTCTCCTAAATCCAAGAACCCCTTTAACTCAAACCATTACCACAAAGACCCACATGTCCTCTCCCATTTAGATATTAATTCGGGTTAATATATTAGTTTGACCTGAATTATACATCAAAGTAGAAAGTTTCTGTATAATTCGGGCCAAATAAAGCTATTAACCCTACTTTTTTTGGGTAATGGTGATATAATATTAATAATAATAAATAAATTAGTAAATGTAACAAGAGCTTAAATTAACTATTCAGGTATCAAAAAGGGCAGTCACGACAAAAAAAACATCAACATTCCTGCGAAAGAGATTTATGAAACTCTCAATCCTCAAAGCCTATATAGTTTCACAAACCCCCCAACTCATTTCTCTTATCTAGGTCACCACCATGATAATTGAATAGTATCCACATACCCTCAACCAGGGGCGGAGCCAGGACGAGACCGGGTGGGCCGAAAAATAGATAAATAAAAATAAAAATAAAATAATTAGTTTTAAAGTCTACAACGTTCTTTGAGATCATTGAAATCTTTCAAAATAACATATAAAAATAAAATAATTAGCTTTAAAATCTACAACGTTCTTTGAGATCATTTAAACCTCTCAAAATAGCATATGAACTAAAATTTTTAGCTATCTTTCTTTCAATATAAATAACTAAATCATTAACAAGAACTCATCATTTATTGTGTTTCGTAATCTATTCTTCACTATCTTTAAACCCGAAAACATGCACGATCACATGTGGCTTTAGAAATTTAGAAGAGTTAGAAGAAGACAAATCAACATATCAACAAAATAAAATTCCTTTGACACTAATCTTTCTGTTCATTCCGACATAGATAAAAAAATAGATCATATAGTTTGTAAAGAGCTAAAAATCTCAAGTGAACTAAATAGATGTTGGTTTTTTCATTTGTAGCTGGATTAAAGTAACAAAAAGAATGAAAAGGAGTGGATATCCGTTTGCTTTGGTCCATGACCTTGTGGAGGAGAATTAAGATAATAAAATCCAAAAAGAAGTTAAAGCAAAAATGAGGTTGTTGTGGATTGAACCTGTTTGCTTTAGACTCAAAATTTAGTTTATCTACCAGTAGACTACAAGATTGTTATATGACACAATGTATAGGCCGAGCACTACCTATCCAAATTTTATCTAAATATTTCTTACGGTCCTAGGGGCTGAGACTATTCCCGGGTGGGCCCCTACTCTATGAGTAGCTCCGCCCCTACCCTCAACATATAACTGCAGTGAATTTTAGACTTATTTACCGTGCGGTGCCTTGTACTCAGATCTCTTTAAAATGCTAGGCGAGCCTTTGCTCGAACATGCTCACGCTTGTACATGGGCGCTGTACTTGGGCCGGCACGACACGAGCACATTCAAGCCCATTTATTTCGTGCCGTGCTTGGCACGACCCGTCAGTTTTCGTGTCGTGCCATGCAAGCCCATTTGTTAACTTTGCTAGGCCCGACCCAGGCCCGGGCATGGTTCGAATCGTATCGTGCCTATTTGTGCTCGTGCCATACTCGTATTCGTGTTTAATGAAAGAGAAAATGAAAAAGAAGGTGAAATTGGACGGGGGAAGATAGTATTAACCGATAATGTTTGAGAAAAGTAACAAATAAGGGGGAAAAGAAAATTGGAAGTATAGCGAGTGTGATTTGGCTTTGTTTAATTCTTTGTCCATTTTTACTTATGTTAGTAATTGCGTATATATCTTTATGACACTTCTAACAACAACAAATAATTATTTTTCTACTTGTGTTTTGTAATATTTGAACCTATAATTCTTTTTATATTTATTTTTTATAAAATAAATATTATTTTCGTGCCATGTCCGTTCTTATACTCAATAAAGTCTAGAAAATATTATCCCCGACACGACCCACTTATATACCGTGCGGTGCCCGTGCTCGTGCCCATGAAATTTAGGCCTGGCACGACCCATAAATTATTCGTGCTTATGCCTGACTGGCCCATTTATTTCGTTCCCGTGCTCGTGCCATGTTCTAACCATGCCGTGCCGTGCTAGCCCGTGGGCAGCACGGCCTGGTGCCCACGTACACTCACGCTTACACAAAAAGAGTGGTGGAGAAATTTCTCTCTTTCTCTGTTATCTCTCTAGCTTCTTGGAGATGAAAGAGTGAGTTACAATTGAAAGAAGGTCTCCCTTATATAGGTAAGACTACTAGGGTTGTTCAAACGGATTGGTTATCGTGGTAACCATATTAATTGATAGTATGCGGTTAATTTGGATAATTGGTTTGGTTTGGTTAAACAATTTAGCTTATTTGGTTTAGGTGGTTTGGTTTGGTTTCAACACTGCTAACCAATGAAACCAATTAATCAATTAATGATACACCTAATACACAAAATTATTTATACTTCTATGCAACCAACCAAACCAAACCTTCGTGATTCCCTATTTTATTTCCGTGCACAACAAACCAAAGTATTATGGGTCAAAAGTTAAATGGGTCTGCCTATTTACAAAACCAAAACATTTTGGACAACTACTAGACTTTAGGATTACGTACAATACCATGACAGTCATTTCAAACTATGTATAGTTTAAGTGTTTTGTAGGAATGTTTAACTTCCTGATGAGTGGTATTGGTATTTATTTAATATTTATATTAAGGGTTTTATGTAAGCTAGCTATATTAGGTGCATAGATGATGAATGATGTATTAACTCGAATGATAATGATAATCATGAATGGTTAGTCTTATTATTATTGCTTATATATAATGATAGTTTATGATAGTAATAACATATGGTTATGTTTTATTCATTAATAGGATAATTGTTTTCATGTAATGTTATGTTATTTGGTTAATCCGATTATCCGATTAACCAAATCAATTAAACTTTGGTTTGGTTAATTTGGTTTTCGTCTTAATTTGATGCTTTGATTAAGATATTTTATTCCATGGTTAATGAAATTTAGACTTAATTGGTTTGGTTATTACCACGGTAACCATTTAAACATTCATGAAGACTACCTTGAATCAATGGTTTAATGCTCTTGTGTAGATCTCATCCTATGCTACAAATGTACACGTTATTCAAAATAAACTATACAATACGGATGGTCTGCCATCCAATGCTGGCACGTCCCCCAATGTGACATGCCCTTCAATGTTGTCACACTCTTTAATGTTGTCATACAAGACGATCTAGGTTGTACGTCGGTCAAGGCAATCTGCGGTTTGATGCGATGAAGCTTTGAATGCCTGTTCCGCCTATCAGGTTTTCTTCGTGACATTATCTCCCACTTAATACTGTGAAGTCCCTATCGCAACGTATTGACAGAGATACTCGTCTCGTGCTAGTGTTGCGTAGCCCCGACCGTCTACCAAGTATGATGTGCATCTTTGGTAGATGTCATGGACTTTAAGCCAAATATGTGAGACTCATGGACTTTAAGCATCCAAATCAATGGGCCCTATGGACTTAGAACTCCTAAATATGAATGCAGGATATCGAATATGGTCACAAATCTGTGAGCCCCATGATAATAATGAGTTATTTATCTTCTTGCCTCAAGAATATAAAATAAATAAACAAATATAGTAAGGTAATTTACATACTAAGATACAAATTGGACTGGAAAACGATGCGGTCTGGTTCAGACGGACCTTATATACGGTCTACGGTCAAAATCAAGAGGTTCGAGTATAGACCACAGAGCATATGGTCTAGACCAGACCAGGCATGTGCGGTCTGGTCTGTATGGTGTGGTCTAGATAGACCACAATGAACGAAAAATGAATAATTTGATTAGTCAACCACACAAAATATTGAACCAAATATTCATCGGGAATAGACAAGAAAGTTTTTGTTTGTTTGCCTTAAAACATAAATTCCAAGATGCATGTATAATTTTGACACCATAAATCTCAGTAAATAACAAAGATACAAAGTCAAAGCATCTCGACTTGCACCATAACGTCATAAACATTAACATAATGTCATATGGAGACACAATCGTCTTTACTCTCTGATAAAATGTGGTTGTGAATGAAGGAAGAGACGAGATTCTCAAAATTAAGATTGAGACTTGGGTACCGTTGTGGGAGTTGGGAAAGTGATCGGTTGGATCCACAATTTTGTCTAGTAAACCGCGGTCTAGAATAGACCAGACTAAGAGATTAAAATATCATATAAAGCAGAGCAGAGCAGACCATACCATACTTAACGGTCTATGGTCCAAACCAAATTGTGTTGTCCGGTTTGAACCATGATTTTTCAAACGGTCTGATCTATTTTTCAAGCCCCAACTACAAAACCATAATAACAAATCCATTAACAAAAACCATCAAATAAACATAAAACTTTTCAATTTCATAATCTACCAAATTCATCACAAATCCAAGAATTTCCAAAACCCAAGTATTGCCCAAAATTTATCCCAAATCCAAAATTTTCCAAAACCCATGTTTTGACCCAAAATCTTCATACCTCTAATTCCGTGAAACAAATGATCTAAGTCTTTCTCACTAACACTACCATGGAGATGGTCTTGTAGAAACTAGAAGTATATTCATGTACTGCCTTACATCGTTAGTAAATACTCCGTTTAATACATGTATATGTACTCGTACGTATTTTATCCGTTTAAAACTTTCGTATTCGTTTTATTGTCAAGCTGTTTCATTTTTCCGTTCATTTGATGGCTCCCGTACTAAACACATATAAAATTCGTATAACATGTTTAATGTTCGTATTTAATGAATTATATTGTTAACTTTACTATTATTTATATGTTTATTTATTTTAAAAAATAATTTATTTTACATATTTATGACTCTTAACGTACTATTAAACATAACATTAGTTTAAAAACGAAGTAAAATACTCTTACATATTTTTTTACATAACTTTCGTATTTTACTTACTATGCTGACTGGTTTGCTCACATCGATTCTGATTTTCTTTTCTCATTTGTCAAAAAAAAAAAAATTCTGATTTTCTTCATTCAACAATTGTGTACGCGGACGCCATGTCGTGACTCGTGAATATAAAATTCTCAAAGTAATACTGACCTATATGAATCGGCCACACTTTCCCATCTCTTATCACTTACTAGTTACTGCTACCCACTTTGTTGACCAATACTGCTGAGAAGTGAAAACTCACAAAAGTCAACCTTCCCTTTAGTAATCAAATCATCTTAACTTCACGATTGCTGGAGCCTCTTCATCATTTTGCAGGGGAGAAGTCCAAATTCAATTTACAACCAGTAAGCAGTGAGAAGATCATGAGGTCTACACCTACAACAAATCATCAGCAGCAGAAGCCACATGCTGTGATACTGCCATTCCCAGCTCAAGGCCATGTCAACCCACTAATGCAACTGGCCAAGCTCTTACATTCCAAAGGCTTCCACATCACCTTCGTCAACACCGAGCACAACCACCGGCGCCTGGTCCGAACCAGAGGCCCTGAATCCGTCAAGGGTCTCCCCGATTTCCAGTTTCGAGCGATCCCCGATGGGCTGCCGCCGTCGGACAAGGATGCCACTCAAGACCCTCCTGCCATTTCTCACGCCACGCAGAACTACTGCCTGCAACCATTCATGGAGCTGATGGCAAAACTCAATTCAACTAGCTCTGCGGAAGTTCCTCCAGTTACATGTATGGTTTCAGATGGAATCATGACCTTAGGGATCAAAGCTGCCCAATTGTTGGGGATCCCCCACGCTACATTCTGGACTGCCTCGGTTTGTGGCCTCATGGGTTATTTGCAATTTGGTGAGCTCATTGGAAGAGGCATATCTCCTCTCAAAGGTACTTTACTCTCTGCTTTTCCCCCTCTCCTCCGTCAATGAATTTGCTTGTTTTTAAAGATTTGCTCTATCTACATATGTTGTTCTCAGAGGCCAATTTCACGGATGGAACACTTGAGATGCCTTTGGAATGGATTCAAGGAATGAACAATATCCGTCTGAGGGACCTTCCAAGCTTTGCAACAACGACTGCTGCGGCAGATATAATGTTCAATCACCTGAAAACTGAAGCAGAGAACTCGATGAAATCGAACGCGATTATCTTCAACACTTTCGACGCATTTGAGGAACAAGTGCTAGCCGCTATTAGCACCAAGTTTCCTCGTGAGATCTACACAATCGGTCCACTCCACTTGCTTGGTAACGCGATGTCGGAGCCCAAAAGCACTGAAACTAGCTCCATCAGTTCAAACTTCTGGAAAGAAGACCATGAATGTACGAAATGGCTCGATGGAAGAGAGCCGCAGTCGGTCGTTTATGTCAACTACGGAAGCGTGACAGTCATGTCCGAAGAGCACATGAAGGAGTTCGCGTGGGGGCTTGCAGAGAGCAAGCGCCCGTTTCTGTGGATTGTGAGAGGAGATGTTGCAATGGGGGATTCAGCAATGTTACCACCAGAGTTTCTGAAAGAAATCGAGGGTCGTGGGTGCTTAGCTAGTTGGTGCACGCAGCAGGAAGTGCTCTCGCATCCTGCTGTGGGCGCTTTCCTGACGCATTGTGGTTGGAATTCGGTGATGGAGAGTGTCTCGGCTGGCGTCCCAATGATATGTTGGCCCTTTTTCGCGGAGCAGCAGACGAACTGCAGATATGCTTGCAGCGAGTGGGGGATTGGGGTGGAGCTGAGCCATGATGTGAAGAGGAATGAGGTTGTGGATGCGATTGAGGAGACGATGAGTGGAGAGGAAGGGAAGGTGATGAAGCGTAAGGCCCTGGAGTGGCAAAAGAAAGCGAGGGAAGCTGTTGGAGTTGAAGGGTCTTCCTTCAATAATTTCATGAGAATCGTTGAAGATCATAGTCATTGATACGGAAGGGCACCTTCTAGTTTCCCCCGCGGCTGCTGAACGGGCGGACGAGTGTGGAGAGAGCATAATCCTTGTTTTAATTATGTTTGCAGTCGGTCTTTGCATTCTGATATCATTGTAGTTTGACATGAGTAGTGCCTGCCCGCCCAGGGAAGGGAATCAACTCTATCTCACTTTGTAAATAATCATCAACCATCATCTTTGGTCAATTCTGCCGTTTCAAAGCCAACACTAGCCCCAAGCACATCATCAGAGGGCTGGTTGAAGATGGCCGCAATGTTCACGTATCTCATGAATTGCAAACATCTGTCTTCGATTTAGCACTCACCTCCAGAATCAACTTTCAATAAGCTGTTTTTATGACTTATGAGCATAAGGGAAAAAATGGCGGATATAACAGAAAAGGCTTGTTATTAACTGTGATGATGAATAGAAGTATAAGCTTCGAGCATCCCAAAGAAAAACCCTTCCGTCTCCATTTTCTGCAAACACCACTTTGGGAAACGAAGACTCTGCCACAGACCCTTTAACCCTCCCGCAAAGTGTTTGACAATTCCCATGACATCATGCAACGTTCATAACTCAGAGGATTAAAGAACCAGAAACAGGTGCCCGAAGAGAGACATGTGGGCTTGTGTTGCATGTCTCTCTTATGGCTTGTATATTTCTTAGATACAAGCTTTCCTAGTAGCGGTACTTCATCTTCTACTGGAAATGGGAGATTTTGAATGACAAACTTTGAGCCCCTTTGGGCGCTTCAAGCCTGTCCTTTGATAACACTAGATATAATCCTTTAAGGAATTCATTTAAAAAACATTTAGACTACCATTCTTAATAGCACTTCAGCAAAAATTGCTAAATGTTAGATTATGTTTGCCTTTTCAGTCTAGTTTCAACCTAGTCGTTGAATAATTACTACACTATTCTTAGAGATGGAGGCAATTTAAAGGTTGATCTTCCATTTATACAGACTATAGTGGTCGTGTATGTTCCAAATGCTACAGAGATCACACCTTCTCTGCTGACAACCTGTTCCAACTCTCATCATGAAATTCATGCAAGTAGTTATGGATTCAATGCCTTTCTACTCCCTATTAAATGCACTCCATTCAAAAACTTACAGTAACATACTAAAGGTAACCCAAGACACGACCTTGATTAAGTCCAAAAACTCTACATTCTAAACCTTGAAGATTATGTCTTGCAGAATGGGTGGATTCAAAACAACACTACCAGCACCAGGGGATTTAAATCTTTTCACCTCCTTGATGTAGGGGCAGCCTACATCCATCAAGTTGGTAAGCCACTCTTGCTTCAACATTCTTGCTTCCTTCACTTTCAAGTTATGTGTGATGTCTTAAGTTATGGATTAGCTAATTATCAAATTAACTATGCAATTGGGCAATAAAAAGTATACTTCGATCCACTGCCCATTTTCACAGCCTTTGATCAAGAGTCCATGGACTCGAAATCGGAAACCTATGCTTTTTCACCTCAAAGGGATTTCCTATAATCTGACATCTTTTCATTATGATGCCTGGTGTGTATGGCTACAGCATCCCTATAGTAATAGTGTAATACTAACTATACATTGGACTTTTTAAGATTGCCAGAAAGAAACTCAAAATCATTAATGAGATTCATCATTACGTCGATGCAACATTTTAGGTGGTCCCATAAAATATATCATATGCAAGGAATCACGTGACAAGAAGCTCAAACTTGGCACTGCTAGATAGCTCATCATGCTGTCTAGGCTACATAAGGCAGTAAATTAAAACAAAGAATACACTAACTATCTTCCACGACCTTTCCTAAAAATGATCTTTTCTACAAAATAAAGAAAGTGTTGAGCCATACCTATAGTGGCACATCACAATTTTGTTTGTCATGAATGACCTCGGCATAAGCTGAGGACGCGTACCCCATTGGCCAAGAGATGTGCTTCCGCAAGGAATGATGGCCATTTAATAGACTAACAAAAAGTAGGATCCGAATGGCCCTTGACAAGATGAATTCAACAAAAGATGAATAACATCTAACCAAGTTAAACAGTTTAAGAGAAATTCAACCACAATAAACAATTCCATTAGTAAGACCATAACATCACAGATGTGTTGATTAACATCCAGAAGTTAGTAGTTCATAGATACCTCAGCTTCCATAAAGCCTCACTCTTTCTACATTTTTACATCAAAAATCAAAGTTCCCTTATACTATCACCTTATCAATTCTCCTGCTTTCCGTGACACGGCAATTGAACTTCAAAAAGTGAAAGACAACTCTTGTTGGGGTTCGAAGAAAAAAACCTCCTTCGATTGAGAGTGGTCAAGATTCAAACATAATTGTCCAATCAAAACACAATAGACGACATGCATATTAATATCACTGTTAGGTTGCTCCCAACACCCGCAGAAGCAGAGTGTTTTACTGAATTGATGACAAGAACGAAGCAACCAATAATGGGTATTTCACAAATTGAGCGCAGTAACAAATGAATGGAAGAAACCAAAGCAAAACCGAACCAGAACGGAAGGGATATAAATGACAACTTTTCCCTCTGGGGAAACAGAAATTGGGTGAAAGGGGGAGCATTTCAATGAGAAATAAACAAACATACATGCACCTTGGTTGTGGTATGGTCACCTGAAGTCACAATCTTCACTCCCTCGGATAAGAAGAGGGAGAGAGACAGAAGAGCCAAAGAGAGAACAACATGTTTCCAAGAAGGGGTAAGAACATAGAAGCACAGACGAGTACGACTACTACGGAGTTGGAAGATGAGGCTGGAGTTAGACGCCCTAGAACCTCCCCAGTTAGAGAAGAAATACTAAAGTACAAAACAAAACCCTCTTTAGTTTCAGGTCCCCTGCGTTCCAAGATCTTCGCAGGAAGAATACATCCTAGCTCATCCACCGTTGGATCCATCTTTGTGGCCCAGATAGGGGGCCCAATGATTCGGGTATAGTCGTTTTATTCACCCCGCCCATACACTATTTTTTGGTCGGATCTCACCCACACTTTGGTTTTGAATATACTAAATTCAAACTTACCCAAAGAAATTGGAACTCTATAGTTTGTTTATGAATGGATTGGGTCGAGTGAACTATATTTTCTTTATAAAGGTGATAGATTGAATTAAAACTAAAGCAAAAAAGGTTCCTGGTACAAGAACGCACAAAAAGTGCGGACCAAACCAAACCTATCAAGGAAACTAGGCACGCTAGAAGGCCCATGTTTCTTCGTAGGCCTGCTAAACCAAAAGCGAGGCGAGAGGTGAGAACTTTTTAACCAAAGACGAACATAGATCCCCTAAAGAAGAAGAAAAAAAGAGAAAGAAAGAAAAAAAACCCGGCAAAAGTACGACACGCCGCAATCCATGAAGTACCCATGGCTCTGTCTGCGAGCAATGAACGGACTTCCGACCTTGCAACACACCAGGAATGGCCAGGGCCATGCTTACTGCTCAACCAACATAGGTCTAATCCAACCAAGGCCTTGTTACCTACTGATTTTAACATGAGCGACAAGCCACTCGGCCATCGATCTCACCGTCTTTTGTAGCACCACTTTGGTGTTGCTGCCATTATCCTTGAATATACGACTGTTCCTTTCCAGCCAGATCTGCCAGCAAACAGCATGAAGAAAACAGAAATAAAACCATTCACTTAGAGAGTTCGGCGGCTCTGCATTCCATCTGCGTATGACTTCCAGGATGTCCCCATGAGGCATATTCAGACTATGGCAAATCCTTCTCGCTTCAGCCCACAACTCGTTACCAAAAGCGCAGCTGATGAAGAGATGGTCAATGGACTCCTCTTCTCTACAACACAAACTACACCTGTTTGCCAAAGGAACACCGCTTCTTTCAATTAAATCAATTGTCATGATCTTCTTGTGAGCGACCGTCCACATAAAAGCGTTGATCTTTGAGGAGATTAACTTGCGACACACAAATTTGTTGGGGAAATCAGCCACCCCCTGGAATCGTCCCTCTATCAGAACCCTGTACATGGAACTCACAGAGAAAGTAGAATTGGGATTGGGTGACCAAACCAATTTGCTTGGACCACACGCCACCCTTCGTAAATCAAAGTTACTCAAAAACTTTAAACTCTCCCTCTCCCTTTCACCCCCCTCTCAATTGGTTATTCAAACCAATATTCCAAACCAAACTCTCACCTGATTGCCTGATTGAGTCTTAGATCCAGGCGTCGAGCCTAGCAGCAGTGGCGGCGACTCTAGGGTAGGACTCGGCGAGAATCATGTTCACACCTCCACCAGGGTCAATATACACCGCCTTCCAGAAATCAGCGTACTCCTTTGTAATATTTGCCGAAACCGATCCACCAAAACCCCAACTGCATCTCTTGCTCTGCCATACGGAATTCCCCATCAAATACTTAATATCAATTAGTTCTCTCCACCAACTTCCTCTATCCTCCGCGAACTTCCACAACCACTTGCTCAACAAAGCCTTATTGAAACACTTTAGGTCTCTGATATCCAATCCCCCATTCTCTTTTCTTGCTTTACACATATCCCATTTGATAAGAGGGGTCTTGCTATTATCTCATGCCCACTCCAAATGAACCTACGCTGAATTCTCTCGATCCTATTCAATACAGTAGCTGGGGCGCGCAGGAGGGAGAAGAAATATACAGGTTGTCCTGAAAGAGTAGATCGATTCAACACTATATTTTTAAGTAACAACTCAACCCAACATTAAAAGTACTTTATAACTAATTAAAATTTTAAACAAATAAACATTTATAGAAAATAAACTAAAATTGTTGAACATTATACGTTAACGCATCCATAATATGTTATTCTTCTAAAATGATATACACTAAATAAACATGAATCATAGTCTATATAAAATACATATAATAATGATAAAATACATAAATTTCCGCACAAATATATTTGTATACACCATAAATATATTTTGGATACAAACATTTAAGAGGCGGGATCCACAGAAGAAACCCATCCCCCAACCTTAAACCTTAATTTTAGAGATATGTATAGGTGGATTGGGTCGACATGAACGGATGGGTCAGGTAACGATTATTTTTGTTCTTTCTATAGGGTAAAATATGGCTTCCAAACTACTATATTTGAGTAGGTTCCTAGTTAGAGGGTCATATATCAAACTCATCACCAAATTATGTTGTCAATTGACAAATCTACCAATGTTCCTAATACTTTGAGTAAATGTATTTAGAGGTGTAAAAAAGTTCATGGATCAAATTATGAGAACTGCGGTTCAATAGTAAGAGAAAGTTAGGATTGTGGATCGGATCATCATTGTCTTTGGTCTGATTTGATCTAGTGCAAATATAAATTGATTTATTTTTAACTATCTGTAAAATTCATAATACGAAAGGCTGAACTACATTATAATTGATTTGGTATGAGTCGATCCGTCGATCTAGTCTTGTGTGGACCAAACCGAATAACATGTTCTCCTCACTCCCTTGCCTTCCCAAGCCACATCTTCCTTTGAGTAAATATGCTCCCTTAAGGAACCTATGCTTCTTAGAAGCCTTTAACATATTGTCTTCCTCTGCTGGAATATATGGAGGTGAGAAATGAATTTGTTTTTCAAAAGTACAATTCCTCGACCCCGAATTTATGTATGCAAACATCCAGGGACCTCATTGACTAGACGTCATGTCTGAGGTCATCCCCCTCCTCAATCCATATTGTTCAAGTCAGCTAAGTGGGCCCAGTTTCATCCTACTCCATGGCCAAGCAATCATCCAATAATGGTGATTCACTATGATTTTTTGTTCTTAAGCAACTCTCAATCGGCGCCATATGGTGTTGTGGAAATTAAACACCATGAACAAGTGTGTGATGGGTGTGCTAATACAATCATTTGTTCTAGCCTTGATTGAAGTTGAAACAAATGCCCTTTTAGAAGGTCACAAACTAGCTCGAGAAATTGGTTATGATTTTGTGGTCCAATCTAAGTGTCGCGTTTTGGTTCATCCAAGATCTCAAGATTTCTCGAAGTGGCCATGGAGGGTGTATAGATAGAAGAGGGTCAGTGGCCTCCATCCTTTTAACGAATGTAAGCATTAAGGTTAAGGTTGTTTCTAGGAAGGATAATGCTTCATTTGTTAGTCACCAAAGTGGCCAAATTAGAAGGATTGATAGATATCAAATTAAAGCAAGTTCAACTACTCATCTGTTTATGTGATGCTTTTACGTTGAAATTCATGATTATAAAATGTTTTCGAATCGTCCAAAGGTTGGTTGATCTCTTTATAATTCATGAAGATTATTATGGTAAATTGATGTGCTTGGTTAGATATACTTAGTATATCCAAAGATTGCAAGTATATATAATTAGAGTATTTGGATCACCAATTATGGGAAATCATTTTAAGCATCAATTACGTTTATTTATTGGATATATTGTTCTTTTGCCCAAAGGTAATATATAGTTTATGTTCATGCTTCTCAATCTGTATTATAGATTATGCTTACTGCTCAAGGCATAAATGTGTAAGCTCATGTTATATATTTGTAGCCTTTATTTATGTTTCTCTTCATTCACAAGGCACGTATGTTGTTAAGTTTAACGGACTCAATTTCTCTGAATGCTCTTAGGATGTTCAATACCTCGGTGTCCTAGATTTTGATTTGGCACTCTTAAGTGAGAAAATTGTTGCTCTTACTGCACTAGCAGTGTTGAAGAGAAGTCATTCCATAAAGTTTGGGAAAGATCCAACAGGTTGAGCCTAATGTTTATGCGTATTACTATAGCAAACAACATTAAGTTATCTTTCAATAATAAGGAGAAATTGTCCCTTATACAGATTGTTTATTAATCTACTATAACTTGAAGATACCATATTATCACGAATTCCTGCATTTATTGAGTGATCCACAAATGGCAAACTAAAAGTGCTAAGGAATTTATGGATTCCATGAAAATAAACGCTCAATTTGAGTCTGCTGAAAATCGCTTGTTGGGACATTAATGGGTACGCTAACCACAATGAAGTTTGATGGTTCTCGTACCATGCATGAGCATATCATTAAAATGACGAATATTGAAGCAAGACTAAAGACCATGGGAATGGAAGTGAATAAAAAATTCCTAGTAATGTTCATCCTTAATTCCTTACCTCCAAAGTAGGACACATTTCACGTGCATTATAATACTCTGTAGGATAAATGGAATGTGCATGAATTACAAAAAATGCTCATTCAAGAGGAAGCGAGGTTTAAGATACTAAGAAGTCATACTACCAATCCTTGTACAGTTATTGATGCTTTCTATAAACTAAAGCTTGATACCTTATTCGTTGAGACTCTCTTAACCTTGAATCTTAATGTTGGTACTATATGTGGTTTGTTTGATGAATTCTTTGCTTATTTGTGGCATAGACATTTAGATCACATATCCAAAGAAAGGATGGGAAGGTTAGTAAAGAATGAAATCCTTCATAATTTGGATTTTACTTACCTTGAATCCTGGCACTAAAGTTGGAGAATGGTGATTGGTGCGAAGACCAAAATCAACTTCAGGCGCTCACTCGGAGTTTCTTTGTGGCCCTTTACCTGGATGACGGTGCACCGACAATGCCAATATTACATGGATTCCAAGTGTTACCACAACATGAATTGTTGATGATGGATGATCAGTTCACTTTGGAGGAACTTCACCTTGCAGTGAAAGGTATGGGACCCCTAAAAACACCTGGGAAAGACGGGTTGAATCCCCTCTTCTTTCAACATCTATGGAGCATGGTGGGTGCAAAATTTATGGATTTTGCTCAAGGTTGTTGGGACGAACCGCCAAGGATTAGGGTGATCAATGAAATCATATTGGTGTTGATACCGAAGATAAAGCAGCCCACTTCTATCGAACAATTCAGACCCATAAGCCTATGCAATGTGGATCTGGAAGGCAATACTCCAGATAAATTCCAAGATGGAAATTCATCTCCTTGAGTCGGCTGCTACAACTCACCCTCATTTTACGGTGGTTTCGGAGCTAAGGCGACTATTGCACCGGGATTGGCAGGTGCGGATTAAACATGTCTTTAGAGAGGGAAACCGCGGTGGCGGACTACCTAGCTTCTATTGGACACTCCCATCCGCCGGGAGTTTAGATTTTTCTTCAACCAAGCAGCATGCTTAATTATTGGCTTCTCTTTGACCAGCTTGGGGTCGAAACCCCCCGTTTTAGCACCCTCTTCCTACCAAAAAAAAAATCTTTTGATTGTGAACCGACCTGTGAATTAGGGGTGGAAATTGGGGTGGGTGTGGTTACCCGACCACATTTTGCGGGTAACCACATCCACAAATATAGAATTATACTACCCACAACCCGCCCCATAGTGGGTAGTGGTTAACCACTATCCACTGTCGGTTGGTGTGGGTTGGATGTGATACCCACAAAAAATTCCCTTCCTTCACCCTTTGGACTCGTATATCATAAACCTATCAGTCGAGTGACAGCAAAAAAAAAACACATTGATTTAAAACTAAGTAAAGAAGCCCAAGACATGGAACGAGCGAAGATCCGATATTCGGAACCTCCTAAGTAGTCAACCTCCCTCTCCTCGGTTCACTTCACTCGCTTACATGTCACTTCACTTTCTTTAGGAAATGCAGATTGATAACGAGTATGGATTGGAGGGGATCTAATCTTAATATACATAGCATCTTTATCAGCGACATGACTCCTTTCATTTTTAATTCGATTTTTTTTTTGGATAAATGGAACTCTCTCCCGAGTTGCGGAATTAGCGTATTCTTACACAAAAACAAAAACCTACATAAAAGAAAGTTAATCAATAAAGTGTTAAATAAACTATAAACCACATTTATCGTCTTTGTTTTGTTATAAAATAAACATATACCACAAGGACAATACTTGTTTAATAAAAGTATCACATACGAACACGGTGTATTGACTTAGTTTTATTTTATAAAATAAGTATATATTTGATTTTGGAGCTTACTTTAATTTGTAGCATTCTAATTTTCACATACTTTAATATTACAAAGTATTATTAATAAATAAATAAATATACTACGTGTGTTTATTGTGAATTTTGTGGGTTAACCGTTGTGGATAGTGGTTAACCACTAACCACAAAAATCAATATTTTGCTACCACACCCAACCCACTATCCACAAATTGTGGGTATGATTACCCACAATGTAATGCGGTTTGGTGCGGTTTGTGGATTACCCGCAATCCGCAAACCAAACTTCCACCCCTACTGTGAATGGGTACCGCTTTTAAAGTTGGTACACTTGGTACAAATAATATCAAAATTGAGCGGTATGGAATTAGCTTATTTCAAAGATGTACCACTACAAAAACATCTCCCAACATGTTTGTTTCTATTTCTTCCCCCCTAATTAAATAAATTTGAATGCAGGAAGACTATATATTTATGTATTCTCGTTCTCCAGGGATCCATACATGAAGGCACATGTGTTAAACATAGCTAATACCTACAACTGCCCAAGAAGCAGCTGGGTTGGGGATCGTCGTTTCTCACGTACGTACGGAGACGGACAGACGGTTTATTTGGAGGTCTCCTTACCGGCCGACGTCGAATTGATCTCCGAGTGGTTGTGGTTGTGGTTGTGGGTGAGCAGGACAGTGTAGATGGCGGTGGCGGCCAGCATGCCAACAATTGGGCCAACAACATAGATCCAGAGATTGTGGAATTCTCTGTTCACAAGAGCAGGCCCAATGCTTCTTGCTGGGTTCATTGATGCTCCCGTCATATTCCTGCTTTCACCAACACTTCATCATCAATTATTTCATAATAATAATGGGTATAATTCTTCCACGTATGGGGATATTATTCCCATTTTGGTTACTTTTCATCCACCTTCGGCAAATACTGTTATTATGATGATGATGATAAAATAATAATAATAATGCTTTGACGACGATTCAGGTTCGAGCATAGTGTGAGTTATGATGGATACTCGTATTCATTTTTTAATAGAAATGAGGAAAATAAATTTGAGAATGAAATAGATAGAGAAACAATAAGGGGATAATGAAAGTGGTAATTGAGGAGGGTTGAGGAAAGTGAAAAAAATATGGGGAAGAAGAAAATAGAAAATATAGTGGGAGTGATTTGATCTCAATTTTTTTTCGAGCATTTTATTAGTACTTATCGCTTAATATCAATGATAGTAATTCACATTTCTACGAACAATAATACTTAATTTGCATGGTTGTATTTTGTATTTCTTAACTCAATCGTAAATCTATATTAATTTATTTTTATAAAAGAAGTATCTTGTTTGGCCCTATATATACTCACTGATTGAGTCCAAAAAAACATTAGGCCCAACACTTATTTATAGATAGAGTCGTGTTCATGCCCGTATAATTTAGACCCAATACAACTCATGAATTATTCGTGTCCATATCATGTGGTAGACGCGACCGTGCCGTGCGAGCTCGTAAACGAAACTACCTCGTGCGCAAGCACACAATCAAAGCTGAGGTGTCGAGAGATGTTATGGTGAAATAAGAAAGATAAAAACCTAATCGGGTGAGAAATCTGATGAAACAGAACAATTGGTGGAACAAATATTAATAAGACACATGAGCTTGCTGAATAACGTACGTACCCGGCAATCATAACATTAAACATCACTGCAGCTCCGATGGTGATCCCTGATAGCTCCTGTATCTGTGTCATATATATTCATACACCAAAATATTATTATATGATCAAGAGTATTGGTGTCAGTACGTAAAACAAATAATAATAAAAAAATTAATCCTCTTATATCATAATTAGTAAAAGTTAATTAACTATTATTATTATCATTGTTATGGTGGCAGGCATAAGATAGAAACGTACAGCTCTGGGGTCAACGGCGACGCCACAAATGGTGAGCATGAGAAAGAAAGACGTGACGAACTCCCACGCCAAGCCTTGCGAACACGACACCGATCCTTGCAGCCTCGTCACCGTCACCTTCACGTCCACCTCACTCCGGTGATCGAACAGAAACGACAGGCTCAACACCGCCAGCGACGACCCTGCCACCTGCGCTGCCACGTACCCCGCAACCTGTTTCCACGGGAAGCTGCAGGAAGCCGCCAGAGCAACGGTGACGGCCGGGTTGAAATGGCCACCGGAGACGTGGCCGAGAGCGTAAATCATGACCATAAAGGCAAGCCCCCACGCCGCTCCCACGCTCACTACACCCATCTCCGACGACTTGCTCTCCATAATGAAACCGCACCCTACGAAGACGACCACGTAGCTCCCCACCAGCTCCGCTATTATCTGGTTTCATTCATTAAACGCAACGTATTACATGTCTGTATTATAGGGGTGGGCAACGGGGCGGGTTGGGTGGGTGTTGGTTTCAAATTGAACCACCTGCCTTACTAGCGAGTTGGAATAATTGTGACCCGCAATCCACCCACATACTTCTACGGGTTGGATTGGGTGGGTGGCAGATGGGTGAGGTTGGATCGCGGGTCAACCCGCAAAAGCAATTCTTCAACTAGCCATTAAGAAAGTTGACTAACATTTATAATAAGTTCACAGCAAATTAGTAAGATTGTATCAATAATTTATGATATGATTAATAATTTATAGTTTACATCCAAATATTTAATGATTATTAACAATAATCTGCATACCAATATCCAATATCTAATGGATATTGCACAACACAATGACCAATAATAGTAGTCAAAACTATTATTTATTCTCGACCTTTTGAAGTATATGATCAAACTGTAGTGTCGTTCGAAAATATGATGAATATTCAATACTATAAAAAAAAACAACATTTTTCAGGTAAAAAAAGGATGTGGGTCATAAGGGTGACCCGCAATCCACTCACCACCCACCTACATAAGTGCGGGTGGGAGATTTACCAATCCGCAATCCACCCACATCAATCACTTACTGCGTGCGGGTTGGATTATTTGTAGGTGGATCTATATCAATACACGGATTAACCACCCACGTGCCTACCCCTACCTGTAGCTAGCTAGTAAGAAAGAGGGTTTTGGTGGTATATATTGTTTACCTTATGAGCGTTGATTGTGGAAGAGGAGCTAACATCGTCTCCTGCCGACGATGAAGGAACTTGTGAGAGAGAATGAACATTAATGCTCGTCGGCGGCTTCAATCCTTCTTCGAGGGAGGAAGGCGGTTCAGTTGTAATCGAAGCTTTTGGGGAACAACCACCGCTTGACAGCGGGATCTGATGATTACGATTACGACGATGATCATGATTATGAGCCATTAACCCAAATTGTTCCATTTAATCTGCTTCTCATCACAAATCCTCACACCCAAAGAAACACAGCAGCTTAAATCTAGCTAGATAAGCCCAAAACAAAACAAAAACGACAGAGAGGAAAGAACTAACTTTCTTGGGCTCTCTCTGCTAGCTGCCTGGAAACCAATATTCTATTCATAGATAAGAGTTGTGCCTTGCTATTGTGGGCCGGGCTTACGGAATAATTCATGGGTTATTTCGTCGTTAATCCTTCGTGATTATCAGAGATAGTTGAAATGAAATGCATGGCATGGCAATATTAAGTTGATTTTTCATTGTTTTTATTTGTTTATTCAAGGGGAAACAAGAAAGAACATTGTTTCTCTTTGATTCTCTGGAACTTACAAATATATCCAAAAGGAGCGAGAGCTAGGTGGGACTTGGGATTGATCTATGTCTGTTACTTTGTTACTTGTCTTGTTTACAATATCGGGTAATCTCATGTTTTCCCCTTTCACATGTCCATTATTTTACTCTATTCTTTAAAAAGAGTAGAAAGTTCTTTCTTATAGAAAAAGAGTAGAAAATAGATCCATTATTTTTACTCATCAACAGTATAATTTATAGCTGAAAAGTAAAACTGCAACTCCCATTCAAAATTTCCTGCCCATAGAGTGATTTTAGGAAGCTGATGTGGCAGAGTGTTAAGCCGGAAAAAAAGAGTCCCGCCTGATTTCAGAACCAAAAAACTCTCCACTATCCACTTTTTTCTCCTTCCAGGCCCACGTTCTTATTTAATTTGTATAAAAAACTCTCCACTACCCACTTTTTTCTCCTTCCAGGCCCACGTTCTCATTTAATTTGTATTAATTTGTATTTTTTATTTCCGATTTCCCTTCCTTCCACTCTTTCACCTCATTCGAATAAGTTTCTTGGCCTTCAGAAAACCAAACCTTGACTCAATCATCTACCTTTGATTTCCGTTCTCTAAGCGTTAGATCGGTATTGGTTTTGCCGTAAGTTATTCTTCCTCTTTCAGATTTCTGTTTGTTGTTGTCGCTGCTTTTAAGTTTTAGGGATTCGGGTTCTGAGTTTTTTTTTCCAGGGATTCGGTTGCAAAGATTCATCTCCCTTACCTTTGGTTCATTCCGTTTTCTTTATTCTCTCTTACCTTCCTCGCTTCATTCTGTTGATTGGATTCTCTAGAGATCAAAAGGGGATTTTTGATTTTTCCCTTTCTCTTGAAAGTAACAAAGCTGCTTATTTTAAATTCCACTTCGCTTAGACTGTCTTCCAGAGAGCAGCCGACTGCCGATTTTGAGCTGAGTTTTTCCGGGCCGCAGAGAAAGAAGAGGAAAGAAAGAGACATTCGGCGGCGGCAGCCAGGTACTTCGTCCGGGTCGTTTTCCGGGTCAGTAAACCGAAGGGCCGGCTATAAACTACCACTGGCCTGGCGGGGGAAAAGGAAAGCGTAAACCATAAGGCCTCGGGGATCCATTTCTCTCGCCAGCCCATACTTCAGAGGCCCAGCCTACTTGAGTCCAGAACCAGCCCATCGCCGACGAAATTTGGCGCGCCGTCCCCCACCCGTCACCACGTATGAGACATAATCAATTTACTTTCTGATGTTAACTCTGTAGCAGGTAAATGTCGAAATCCAACTTGATCAGTAAGGTTTTCTCTCATATGTTTATAGGTTAATTAATCTAATGGGACTGGCTATGATCTGATAATGTACTTTCAGCTCTAATAACTAAAGAAGTATAAAGTAGGCGGTATTGATAAGCATGCTCCACTGGTTAGTGTATTGGTTCTACCAGGCTTTTTCCCCGTTATTACATAAGATCATTGGACAGTTTTATCTCACTCCATTAGTTTGTTTTATTGTTCTTCATTTGCATTGTATTTGTATTGTGACATTAGAGTTGGAATCCATTTGTGCTAAAAGTACAAAGCGTAAACTGCATAATTGAAAGAAGGGATAAGCTTGGTATAGTTAGAAGAACTAGAATTGGTAAGCACTTATAGTGCTTTTCTTATTGCCAGCTTGCTTCTTTTTCAAACTTCTCTTTGGATATGGTTTTTATGGATGCCTTTGAATTATATTTGTGTTGGCCATTACATTGTTGTCCTTCTCGCTCTTCCTTTGCATCCCCAAGCTTGGAAGCCATTCTGTTATATGTGTTTTGTTCATCAATTTAAATTATGCCTTATATAGTTATATTTTTCTTCGACTGTTATGTTTGTGTGGTGTGTTGTATGTGTCATTAACTCGCACAAAGTTATAATTGGTGAGGAGTTCAACTTCTGTTGTAACAATTAATTAATTTATATGAATGGCAGCTGCAAAATTTAATGGAACGGGTGCATCATTTACCACGATCTCTATTTCAGATTGCATCAGGTTATTGGAGAATTTAATATGGATAGTGCAAATGTCATCCCATCTGCCCAACCACAGATTTATCGATCGTCTGTACCATGTGAGTGTCATGGTTTAGCACGCAACTGCTTCAATGCAAACTGACATTAATATTTTCCCTTGAATCTCATTTGTTTAGGGAAACGTCGAGCAGTGTTTATTCATCCTGAAGATCAGTACCAACGCTGTGTTTTATCTGCTGAAGAGGAAGAAGCATTTGAGAGAGGTGTGTTATCTGTGTTTTAATTTTTCTAATTAGTTCATCTATTCAATGAGTAATACATGGTTTTATATTTAAATTCTGCAGAAGAAGCTGCCTTACAATTCCAACTCTCTCAACTTCGGCGAATACTATCCCAAGTCGCCCGTAAGAGAAGACATCATATTTTGAAACAGAAGGTTCATAGGAGGGGCTTGCCTTTTGAACACCAAGGTTGTTGTTTGCTAAATTTTGTAGCAAGTCTTACAAATTAGGCTATTCTAGATTGTTGAATCTTTATTTATTTCTTTAATATCGTATGTGTTTTGGTGTTGTTCATAGTTTTGGAGCCGGAGTTTAGATTTCTATTACAAAAGCAAAGTCGATTACTTCGACGTATTCATCTGCATAGAAAGAGACGTGGTCGAAGTTTCTTTCCTACAGAAGTCAATCAAAGTATGTGGATTCTAATGGCCACTATTATACATGAAATGGTTCATCTCTATTTTGGTTTAGTTTTTGTACATTGGATATATGTTTTTGTGTTCTGGTCAACATATTTTGTTTCCTATTTTGGTTTTAGAACATATAATGTACCCATTTATGCCATGCATATAATTTAGTGATGTACGCTTCATGTCACCTTATGCAAATAGTGGATTGTTTTTAGATGTTGATGTGTCAACGACAAATTTGTGTGTTATGAACAAACTTTGGTGTTTCCTGAAATTTGACTTATTCTTACTTAAAATGAGCGGTATACCAATCTATCTTGCCTTGAGAACATTTATTTTAATAATTGTGTTTACTGTAGCGCGCCTAAATCGGCTTCACAGTTTCTCAATCTCATTCAATTTATGAATTACTGTGACAAAATTTTATTAATATTACTTATCTATTGCACTAGGTCTTCCGTTGGTTGAATTTTTTGATATTGGTCCACCTTCATGTACGTGTCAACATTGTGGAGCAGTTATGTGGCGGTTCGAGAGTACTTTATCTACACGGAATGATGTGTTGCCTGCATTTCCTTTATGCTGCAAACATGGTAAAGTGAAATTGCCTCCCCGCAGAGATGTGCCCGAATTTCTTAAAACTCTACTTGAAGGGGATACACCATTAGCGCGTCACTTTCGTACTAACATCAGAGCCTATAATGGGGTTTTTTGCTTTATTTCTCTCGGAGGTAAAGTCAATCACTCTATTAATGATGGTCGTGGAGTTTATGTATATTCAATCGGTGGTCAGATTTATCATCGAATAGGATGTTTGGTTCCTGGTGATGGGGATAGTCCGAAATTTGCACAGCTTTACATTCACGATTCAGATAACGAGGTGCAGAATCGTATGGACTTTTACTCCACTGATCCTGCCAAGAATCCGTTGCACAGTGTATTGTTGAAGGCCTCCAGCATATGTTTGATGACAATAATATCCTGGTACGTACATTTCGTTCTGCGCAAGATAGGATACAAAACTCTGGTGTCCAGGAGCTTCAACTGAAACTATTGGCTAAGCGTGAAATTAATAGTAGAGAATATGATTTGCCCTCTGCGAATGAGATTGCAGCATTGATTGTAGATGAAACAGGAGAGCAATCATTTTCTCCAGATATAATTGTTCAACAGAAGGGTTCAGAAATGGAAAGGATTAGCGTATACCATCCAAGTCTGATGGCATTACAATATCCAATTTTATTCCCATATGGCGAGGATGGGTGGCATCCCTGTATTAGCTATAGTCACAGTATCTCTAATATCAGTGTTGGAGATAAAATGATAACCCAGTGTGATTTCTATGCATATCGTCTTCAAACCCGTCTCCAGGAGTCGAATTCTCTGTTATTATCTGGTAAATTGTTTCAACAATATATGGTGAATGCATTTGCGTTAATTGAGGCTGAACGCTTAGACTGGATGCATACCCATCAGTCGAAGCTAAGAGGACACTACTACAAGGATTTGTTGAATTCTTATTTGCGAGGGGATAGTGATATCAAGCTTTCTGGGAAGCCAGTTATTTTAGCTGCCTCACACACTGGTAGTCCAAGATACAAGTATGAGAATTTTCAGGATGCGATGGCTATTTGCAAGTGGATTGGTTATCCTGATTTGTTTATAACATTCACTTGCAATTCTAACTGGCCAGAGATACAGTTAATGGTTGATTTGATTAGAAGGTACAGTGGCAAAGATCCTGACCGGGCTGACATCACCGCCAGAGTTTTCAAAATCAAGCTTGATGAGTTTATGTTAGAGATTCGCGAGAAACAAATATTTGGGAAAATCAATGCATGTATGTGTGCTTATTCATTCGTTATTTATCTATTAATGTTCATCCATTACTCTCTTACCTCATTGAACTAATATTCCTTTTCCACTATTTGCATTTTGTTGTACAGATGTCAAAGCAATTGAATGGCAAAAGCGGGGTCTCCCTCATGCACACATATTGCTTTTTTTGGCCTCGGAGAATAAATTCCATGGTCCTGCGGCTATTGATTCCATAATATGTGCTGATATTCTGGATCCTGATCTTGATCCTGAACTGTATGCAGTTGTCACAAGTTCAATGATGCATGGCCC